AGGACACCTCATTTTGAATACCTACACATCAGCAGAAGGTACTTTACTTCTCATCTGGCTAAGTGGTTATATGTCCATATGAATGAACAGAGGAAATAGAAGAAGAAAAGTCTCACAGAAATCAACATTCAGATCAATAGTGGCATTTGCCATCTGTTGGATTCCTGCTTATTCAACAGGATATACACTTGGCTTCTAGAGATTTTATATGTTCATGGGAAGAATATTAGAAAATGAAAACAATGACAACAACAAAACCTTAACTGGAAGAATTACTTAACTGGGATACCAAGTTTTATAATCCTTCCATTATCTGTTCTTGTGAAGAGCCAGAAAAAATACTGTCACCAAGTACCAAGTGAAGAGAATAACAGTCTTTGTGTCAAAACAGTAAACATGCGATTGTCTCGTTTTGGTTTGGAATTTTTGTTGTTGTTGCTGTTCTATTTAAGTGAAAGTAGAATATAAAGTCTAGGCAATGAAAAAAATGAGGAGAACATCTGAGGAATACCGTTCTGGGTGGTTTTTGTCTCACTGTGATACACATAATTTTAACAGCCACTACTGCAGCCAGGGCTGCAAGACAAAATAATTCTGATCCCTGAAACCGACTTTGAAAGCATCTAAAGGAAAAAAGCACACAGAACTTTTTCTAGCTTATTGTTTTTGTTTAGCAATATAAACCAAAACGAGAAGCGAGATCTTGTAACAATGCCAGGCACAGAGTATTCACTTTATAACTGTTTGGTTCCTTTCTTTCTTATTTCTGTTGAACAATTAGGCAAAACTATTTCCAAAAGAGATGCAACCGTGTTCACAATTACCTTTTTTACCTTGTTTTTTTTTTTTTTTTAGACTTAGTCTCTCTCTGTCGCCCAGGTTGGAGTGCAGTGGTGGGATCTCGGCTCACCGCAACCTTCCCCACCCAGGCTCATGCAATTCTCATGCCTCAGCCTCCTGAGTAGCTGGGATTACAGGCGCTCGCCAGCACACCTGGCTAATTTTTGTACTTTTGGTAGAGATGAGGTTTCACCATATTGGCCAGGCTGATCTCAAACTCCTGACCTCAGGCTATCCGCCTGCCTCGGCCTCCCAAAGTGCTGGGATTACAGGTGTGAGCCACCGTGCCTGGCCCACAAACACCATTTCAAGGGCCAGGATAAGTAAACCTTTCTGATATGGTTTGTATATTTGTCCCTTCCAAATCTCATTTGGAAATGTAATCCCAGTGTTGGAGGTGGGGCCTGGTGGAGGTGTCTGAATCATGAGGGCAGATCCCTCATGAATGGCTTAGTGCCATCCCCTTGGTGATGAGTGAGTTCAGGAGAGATCTGGTTGTTTGAAAATGTGCAGCACTGTGCCCCTCGCTCTCTCCTGCTCCTGCTCTCATCGTGTGACATGCCTGCTCCTGCTTTGCCTCCTGCCATGGTTGAAACCTTCCTGAGTTCACGCCAGAGGCCAAGCAGATGCTGGAGCCATGCTTCCTGTATGGCCTACAGAACCGTGAGTTAAATGAACCTCTTCTCTTTATAAATGACCCAGTCTCGGTATTTCTTTACAGGAAGGCAAAAATGGCCTCGTACACTTTCCAAACTTTCAGAGGTAGATTTTTGTTTCCAAAACTAGTGGCAGTGCCAACGAGTTACTTGGGGAGCTTTAGATCCCAATAATCTCCATCAATCCCCAGAACTCCATCAAACTAAGTGAATCTTGAAATAAAGGCAGTATTCTTAGTATGCAACTCTAGCTTCAAGACAAGTCTTTTTTGAGCCAGACTGAAACCCCACAATTACCCTCATATGGATACCCAGGGGCTGCCGCTGTTCAAAATCACTACATAATTCAAGTGCCATTTGTCTTTCCTTTTGCTAGAAAGAGCAACGTCAAGTCTAAAGGATCAACCTTGTGAGCCTGGCAAAGCCTGCATTTGAATACCAGCTGGCTTTGAATACTCATTAATGGGAAACCTTGGAAAATACTAAAACCTAAATCTGAAATTGCCCTCATGTAAAAGAATCATTGAAATTGCCCAGAAAACAGGGGGACACAAATCTCTCGAGACTGCTGTGAGGACCAAACAAGACAGCATCTACACAGCACCTGGCAGATCTTAGCCCTGGGTGCGTACCCACCAAACAGTCCCCTGGGCCATCCTTCTGCTGTCTTTTTACTGATTCAAAACTACTGACACTTCGTGGTCTCCCTCTGTTAAGGTAGGAAGTGGAAAAATAGGCTGAATAACAAAATTACGGCTACAGTAACCCCTGGGATTGTATTTGCAGGAGTGTTAATATATCCCCAATCAAAGAGACTCCTTATTTTATAAATGATTAAGAAAATTCAGCACTCCACGAGAGAGATCACGGAGTTCTCACAATCTGTGTTTAAGAAAATTCAGCACCCCACAGGAGAGATCACAGAGTTCTTGGAATCTGTGTTCTCCTCTTTCTTTTTTAAAAAAATTTAAAAATCTTTACCTACTTAGGGGGTACTGGTGCAGATTTTGTGCATTTCGTCGTGGTAAAGTCTGGGCTTTTAGCTGAATAGTGATGTGTTGTTCCCTTTCAATATCCATCGAGTCCTAGTTCTGGGCAGAGAGTATACGCCTCTGCTTCTATTCAGTTCTCCTTTCTTGACACTACACCCCAGCTAAAGAGTGGCAATTATGTTGCCTGCCCCAAGTTGCTATGACATCATCATTGCCAAAATAGCAGGTCACTCTGCAGGAGTCAGAATATCCTCTTAGAGACATAAGAAGACTTCTGCTCCTGACACATCGACCATTGCCTGGTAAGGGACCTGGCTGGGGCAGCCTGCGAACACCATAGCTGCATAATAGCTAATGCCACGGAGCGGGGTTCGAGAAATTGCTGTCTTTTACCAATATACTGAATCCCCACAGCCTAGGCTTCAGATCTTCTGAAGATTTCTCTCAATGTGAGGGAACAAAATGATGCCGTGATACTATTTGCAGGACTAGGTAGTATCTGCTTCAGGAAGCTGAGTTCTTTTTCTTAAGTAATGAGTATTTCAGGGACTGTGGTGCAGTAAAAAGGATGCTGCCTGGTTCTTAAAAATCATAAGCCTGTCAGCTTCAGAGAAAGTAGGAACTGAAACTTCAGGTTGAGAGAGAATGTACCAGCAGACAATGAGCAAACCATACGTGACAATAGAACGCTGATGCAACCTCTCCAGCAGCCAGTTCAGGAAGCCACAACACAGCCTTGGCAGTAGTGAGCCCAGAAAGGTCAGGACTTCCTTAGTAACTGAGAGCTTCTCTATTTCATTGTCTTCATATCTCTCTCAGGACCAACCATTAAAAGCCAAAGATGTTCCTCAAACTAGTAACATAAGATGCTGTTTCTTGCCAGGTGCGGTGGCTCACGCCTTTAATCCAAGCACTTTAGGAGGGCGAGGCAGGTGGATCACTTGAGGTCAGGAGTTCAAGACCAGCCTGGCCAACATGGTGAAACCCTGTCTGTACTAAAAATACAAAAATTAGCCGGGTGTGGTGGTGCACACCTGTAATCCCAGCTACTCAGGAGGCTAAGGTAGGAGAATGGCTTGAATCCAGGAGGCAGAGGTTGCAGTAAGCCGAGATCATGCCACTGCACTCCAGGTGATAGAGCGAAACTCAGTCTCAAAACAAACAAACAAACATGCTGTTTCTAATTAGCTCACCTCCAGGTTTGTCATGCCAACAACCTCCAATCAGAGTGCATCTGAACCTTCTATTTTTCACTAAAAGCCTTCCCACTCCCCAACCTGCCTTCGTATCTCTGCTGAAAACAAGTGATGGCAGCCGAAGCCGTGCCCGAGCAAACTGGATAAATCACCTCTGCTTGTTCTCAGTTGGGTGGTCTTCGCTTTTTACCAGTTTATTTGCTTGTTTCTGTTGTACCTAGTTTACAAACAAGGTCGTATTTTGTGATTTGCAGTGCTAAGGCCTACAGAAACTTGAGAAATGTAACACCACCTTTGAGGCCTTCGAGCAACCTTCAAATGTGCCTAAAATGCACCCTCTGCACATGTCTGTACTTTGCAAACTGTTCTCTGACCATTCTCCTCCCTCCACTTCATAGCTGCAACCATAATAAAGAATAACTCAGTCAGAGAGACCCATCATTCCAGTTTGTCCAGAACTCTTCCGTATTTAACACTGGAAGTCGCCCTACGTTCCAGAAAACCTCTTGGCCACGAGCAAACTGGAACCAGCGGCCACCCTATGAGACAGTCCTGGAGATGTCATTCTACACCTCAGCCGCTGCAGAGGAAATTGACTCTGCCTGACATGCCCCTCCCTCTTCCCATCAACAGGTCATCAATTAGGTGAACTCCTCTCAATCTGTCAAGCCCCACCTAAATGCCCAGTTCTAGGCTAAGCCTCTTTGGCAGCACCCCAACTCTCAATCCCAAGCAGTTTCCTCACACTCTCCTTCATGCCACACTACAGCCTGCATACTTTCATTGTACATATCACATGGCACTGGGATGATTTGCTTATGGCACTTAGATGCTCTTACACAGGGCTAAGAGAGGTGGCTCATGCCTGTAATCCCAGAGCTTTGGGAGGCCTTCGTGGGTGGATCACCTAAGGTCAGGAGTTCCAGACCAGCCTGGCCAACGTGGTGAAATGCCATCTCTACTAAAAATACAAAAAATAGCTGAGCGTGGTGGCATGTGCCTGTAGTCCCAGCTACTTAGGAGGCTGAGGCAGAAGAATTGCTTGAACCCAGGAAGCAGAGGTTGCAGTGAGCTGAGATCGTGCCACTGCACTCCAGCCTGTGTGACAGAGTGAGACTTCGTCTCAAAAATAAATAAATAAATAAAGATGCTCTTACACAATGAATTCCTTGAGAGAAGGCACAGTATTGTTGCCGCACTGCTCACCGTCATCAAGTTCTAGATTGAGATGAAGGGACAACTTATGTAATAAAAGTTGGGCACCTACATGAAATGTATTCACCAATCCATTTCAGTTACCGAGACTATTTATCTACCTCAATCTGGGTGTTGTTGTCCTGCCCATCGTCCAGTAGCAGGTCTGTGAAGCTTCTGGGCTCAGGAGAGTCTTGGCTGACGCTTGCTCGGTTCGTGTCTACTGCCTTGAGAAAGTCCAAGTTTCTTTTCCACCTGTGGCTGTATGCATGGGAATCGATTTCCACCTCCTCCTCTGTGTGAGGGAAGGCCTGAGCAAATCCATACTGCCAATCTGTTTGAAAAAGAAAGAAAATGTGTTACCACTCATTATGTGTACCATACATGCACGTGCTGTTGGCTCGAGAAGAAGAAATAATTCTGTGAGGCACGAGAATAGGAAACTAACTTATAAGGCTTAAATCTGTTTACTTGTGACATCTTGAGCTGGTACGAACATCTCTGATTGGAATGCAATTGCAGGAAACACCAGGAGTTGTGACAGTGGTTAATGGGCAGATCTTGCAGAGTTTTTAGAAACAGATGTGCTGCCCTGAAGCAATGCATTTTTATACCCTTCCCTCGCCCCCTCCACATGCACACTTCATAAACATTCTCTAGCTGTTCTGAAAAAGCAAGCTAGAATCCAAAGGGATGAAACCAAGTGACTGTCAGATTATTTTGAAAACAAAAATCAGACCTCATTAACTTGTAAGCTTATATTTATTTCACTTGCATTACGCTGGACAGCAAAGAGACACCAATGTATATGAACGGGTTAAATAATACATGAGATCGTCTTCACGTAAATGGGCGAAACTCCCTTGTAGCTTACAAGCCAGTCTTGGTTCATTGCCTGACCCATTTAATAAGTAAGACCCTCAGGAGTCATCACTGCACTTTTGTTCATTTGCGCCGTTCTCACCTTGAAATCTTGTCAGGGTCTAAAGGATGACAGTGATGGGCACTTATAGAAATGGATGGGAAGGCAAGGAGATCAAATCACAAAGGCATTTTAAAGCTGTCTGCAGGGACTGGCCTTGCTGACCCAGCTTATCCTGCTACTCCAGGAGGAAAAAATGAGATTTAATCATTACTCCCCGTCTTTCATTTTGGTAGGTCAGTAGGGGAAGGCGTGCCACAAGTATTGGAAATTCAGTTTCTGAACAAGAACAGCCTTCTTCTCCCCAACTATTACTAAAAGATATAAATGGACGGGTTTTAGAACTGGCAAGACATGGATTCAAAAAGGGAGAAGAAATTTAATTATAGCCATTATGTTCCCCTTGGTACAATAACATTCTAAGAAACCAAAATGTATTTAATACAGCTTATAATACAATGATTCAACTACTTAGAACTCTAATAACTAACTTAAGGTTACCACTACCAATCACAGGCATAATTACCTAAACTTTTCAACTCAGAAAGGTGCTACTAATTCTTCTAGACAGAGAGGATATTATTTGGTTTCACAGTAACTTAAAAGATCTCTTATTGTCTGACATTTTGGTGCAGAGAACCCAGAGAGAAACACTACCATGATGTCTGCCATCTAGACCTTTCCTTGAACTCCTAGAATGTTAGAGCTCAAAAGGACCACAGAGACCAAAGCAGCCAAAACTCCACAGGGAGAAACCCAAGAGCAAGATAAATGTAGCATTGTGTTCATTTTATTGAATTGCTGTAGGCTTAAAAAAAAATTCATGTACATAAAGGGCTGAGTGTGGACACCCTCCTGCCCTCCACACAATGTGTAATAAGCACATCTAAGCAGTATTGTCATCATCACTGTAGAAAATATCTCTTTTTGTAATACTGTTGTCCCTACTAGCCATTGGATAGTACTCAAAATGTGTTTATTGACTGACTGAATGAGTGGATGAATGAATTGTTGACAGTCTTTCTGGAACAAGCATCATCGGACCAGGCAAAATTAAGTAGTGAAAAAACTACTGTGCAAGGAAGAATCCAGGACTCTTGGGCTGGAATTCTTTCCAGTAGATTTGCTGGTTGTATGATCCAGCATAATTCTAAAAAGTCTCAGTGCTTTTGTTATCCTATATTTTAAATGGGAATGAAAATATCCTGCCTGCAAAAGCAGATAGCTTTTCTGGAGAATGTGTCAGGCTCTAAGACCTATGGTTTTAGGCAAAGCTGCACAAAGCAATTTTACTTGCTTTATTTCTATATCCTGCTTAATTACCAAAAATATATGAGGCAGTTTATAATTCAGGTAAGCAATAAAACTTTATGACAACCAGATAAGACCTCCTAGCACAACACTTAGGTCAATGTCAGATACCTGCGTTTTCCTTGCACTTGCTATAGTAGCTCTTAGCAAGTTACACCCCTGACGTAGCTATGCAAACACAAAGAGTCACATAGGAACTGCTGAAAACCCATGCAAGATCCGTGTTGGAATGTCAACCTAGATAAGAAATGGTAGCAAACATCATGCAGAGAATAGATGAAACGATTCCAGATAAAAAATGGTATTTTAAAAACATACACACTAAGGGAATGGTGTCAACCAGAGGCATATCAGTCTTCTAAAATGTAAATCAGAAAAAAGAAACACCTACATCAAAGGATTTGTCTTCATTAAAATCTTCAAAACAGAATTTCAAAGCAGCTCTTGGTTTCTTTTAAATAAGCGTTACTTCTTCCTCCTTGATATTATTTTTTACCATTTTTTAGATATTTATAACATAGGACAAAACAGAACTTTCTGGAATAGCCATTAGCACCCTCCCTCCCCTTTTAAATTAGCTTCTGGGATCCTGGCACAGAACAGAAAGTAAATGGAATGCCTAACACTGGGGAGCCTTCTTCATGGGATTCTACTTCTCAACTTCCTCAGATTTGCTTTCCTATTTTAGTTCCTGCCTTCCTTCTCTAGAGAACAAATGAAAAGGAACTCCAAAACTTAGAAACGATGAAGTCTCCATTTCCCACTTAAGTTGAAATTTGAGAAGTCTGATGAATGTGTCAAACTCTTGTTTTTGTAGTGAACATTCAAGCTCATCCTTTAGTAAGATTATTAGGAAACAGTGAATTTAGCAGACAGGTAGGAGACAAGCATATATCCTTACTCTAGCACTTACAAGGTTTGGTCTCTAGACAGCTGAGGTTTGATTTTTTATCCCATTGTTTAGCAGCATTTTATGATTTTGTATCTCTCCCTTGCTGTCACCACTGACAGCTATTACAGTCAAATGTTGACAAACCTCCATCTCTGTGTCTCCTAGAATTTGCTACCTCAAACTTGGAAAACAGATCACTTGCTTGCTCTAATTGTGTTTGCAAAGAGTAAACAGGATCTCAGGAAAAACCTGAGGGGTTTTCTAACGAGAACATTTGTGAGCTTTAGGGCCTGGCATCCATGAATATCCATTTGGTTGCTTCTTTTGGTTGGCATTTTAAACCTAATTCTTTCTCTCTGGTTATGTCATGAATAAACAAGGCTACCTGGTCGTGCATAGAGGAAATCCTATTATGTGTTCATAATTCGGTAGTACATGGCTCATCAAGACTGAAAAGTATGAAACTGAGTTAGATTTTGATCCCACTTCTAAATGATTTTTAGAGAAGATAAAACAAGTCAAAATGGATGTTTTACAGAATAAAGACAGGATAATTGGAAAAATCACAGCTTCATTATCTATATTGTAAATTACTCCTATGCATTTCACAGACTTTCAAACTCATACAAAATATTTTAAATTACTCTTTAAATCAGCACCAAAACAAATTACTCAGAAGCAAGATGAAGGAATATATGTGACATACTTTTTCCCTTTCCAGCTGTAGTAAAAACAAAAGCAATAGGAGGGATCTTTGAATAGTCTGGCTGAACAGATTGTTTGTTTCCTGTCTACTGTATGTTAAGTAAACACTGATGGAAAAACCTTCAATGATCATTTTCCCCAACATATTTGGCTATAGTCATTAATCACACAGCTCATGGAAACACTAAACGCACCTCTTGATTCCCATTGGAATATAAGAAGAGGAAGCTTTGAAAACACATTTCTGTAAATACAATTGACCTTAACACATTCTTAAGATATTTTATTTGATCTTAATAGCAGATAAACTATTATAATAGAGAGTTCTTCATTGTTTTTCCAATAAACATTATTAGGAAACACCACAGTGTTCAGTTAATCTGAAAGTAGAACAGGAAATTCATGTGTATCCTCATATTATACTTTGCAAACCTTGCAGGTCTCTGTTTTGTCATCATATACTATAATATAACATAAAAGCAAAAGGGAAGAAAGCGGTGCTTGGAAGGGTATATTTCTGTATTATACTAATGATTTTATTAAAATATCTTGCATTTAACTGACAGTTATTTGCTGAAAACATCTGAACATTTTTTGAGTTTTACATACAAAGCACACACGTAATACATGTGAAACCACCAAAAAGTAACTGCATAAATTGACATGCATCTTACGTCATTAGGATCCATCTTTACTGCACCTTTTGACAAACACTTTGACCTGCACTTTTCAAGTGAAGCAAATCACTACTGTGAATCCTCTGAAACACTCAGAGTGTTCACTGAAAGCAGATTGGCTGGATAGATGCATCTGGGACTAGATGAAAATATTTGGCTGAGACAGACTGCCATATGTCTTTGCATCTCAATTCACTGCAGAACCAAAGATAAAATTCTATAGAAAATAGCTATATCCTTAGGTATGTCGATAAACTGGACTACCCCAGCTTTGAAGTTTTAACTGGCAGCATTACAGACTAAGGTAGCTACAGAAGATAAAGTTTTCAGCATGCTTGGTCCAGAGATACTAAGGAGTTGAATGGGACCTAGACACCCTATTTTATTAAAGCTCTGAGGAAGACTTTTGTGTCTCCTAGGTTGAAGTTTGCCTCATATTCTATTCCCACCATAGGTGCTGATATGGCTTGACTGTGTCCCCACCCAAATGTCATCTTGAATTCCCATGTGTTGTGGGAGGGTCTGAGTGGGAGATCATTGAATCATGGGGGCGGGTCTTTCCCGTGCTGTTCTAGTGATAGTGAATAAGTCTCACAAGATCTGATGGTTCTGTAAGGGGAGTTTCCCTGCACAACCTCTCTCTGCCTGCTGCCCACCATATAAGATGTGACTTGCTCCTCCTCGCCTTCCCCCTGATTGTGAGGCCTCCCCAGCCACATGAAACTGTAAGTCCATTAAACCCCCTTTTCCTGTATAAATTACCCCATTTCAGGTAAGTCTTTATTAGCATGGTGAAAATGGACTAATACAGGTGCCTCAGGTCACAT